AGCGTGGGGCCTGGCAAGTGCCGATGTGCTTGGATTCCTGCTCCTGCTGCCAGGACAGGGCCTTTCTGTGGACCTCTCATGCTGTACAGGGTCTGCTGTAAAATCTTCTCTCCATGCGTGATGGTGGAAAGTCATTCTCATGTCTGATACCTATTGTACCTCAATATTGGTGTCTTATTCCTCTTTGAAACTGTAGCAAATGTGACAGGGGGCCAGTGACCACCGTTTGTGTCTGTTCAACTTGTTCTAGTTGTGTCCATGTATGCCTGTTCCTATTATTGTGCTACTGTCTGTAATCAGCTGATGACGGCATTTGCATCTCTCTATTTGTGTCTCCAAGATCTCCTCATCCCTTGCTTTGGGACATCATATTGAAACCAGTTGTTCAGTTTTTCTCAGAGAGAATGAAATCAATGCCAATTTTCATTAGAGCTGTCATGTCATGGTCTCTGCAAGTCCCGTTGGTTACTGGTTTGGAGCAACTCTGCTTGATACTGTTGAAGGACTGCAGGCCAGGAAGAGTCGGTCTGGTGGTGACTCTCAAGAAGGCACTATTGAAAGCCCTTTAATTAGCTGAATGACAAGCCTGCTATTATCATTGTGCAGTGTTTTGTTTTTGTTCTTGTTGAGAACTTGGTTTTTGTGTGTTTTGATTGTCCTGTCAAGAAGAAATGATGAAGGTGACATTTGGGTCTTTGGGCTTTTCTGACTGTGGATTTGTATTCCTTGTTAGGGAAGTGGCATTTCACACAGAGCTCTGCTTAGAAGTTATTACAAAGAGTCTGCCAGACATTGTGGATTTGGTACCATTGGAATATATATATTTTTTTGTAGCTGTGATTGATGGGAAGGGTCTGTGAAAGCTGGAGTGATCCATGGGGTGGGAAGGGAAATGATGCAATCAGGTGGAGATGAATGTGGCAATGGCAGTGAATAGGACCTGGCCATTCCCTGATGTGAGGGATGAAGTTGAAAAGGATCTGCGTTGCTTGCCATAACAGAAGTAGAAGAGATTCCTGTTCATGTTAAGAACGCATGTCCCAGAATGGTGGATCATGGGTGTCTAAAGCAAAGCCTGAGGGAGAATGGTCCCAGAGTGTTGCTGTGGAAGACCCTTTCCCAGACTCCAAGACACAAGATTTGAAGGTCTTCCTTAACCAGAGACAATACGTGATGTTGAAATGGTCTGGATGTCATTTGAGGCATATTGCCTTCCATCAGTTGTGAATCCCTCTTTCTTCTCTGGGACATGTTGAACGAGAAGGAAAAAGTTCAGACATTGCAGAGAAGTGTGCCAGGAAGTAGAGTGGTTGATTTCCCTTGAGGAGAATCCCTTGAGGTGTGTTGTCCTTGTGTGGAGGGCTGGAATTGTGTTAGATGAAATTACAGAGAGCCTTTTCTTGTGCAGGTCAGAGTATGTCAGAGGAAGGCATTTTGACTCCCTCGCTATCCTGCTGTTGCATGGATTCTGTGTAGAGTTGTAGTTGCTTGTGATCACCATTTCGCTGCTCTCTGCATGCCATTCTTGTGCCCCCCATCTTTTTCTATGCTCTTTGAAGATACATCGACTTTTTCACTCTCTTTACCACCAGAAAGTAGTTTGTAAAGGGGAAGATGCATCTGAAACCATGTTATACTTTTTCCCTCTATGAGTATGCCACTAGCGTTCTTTGCAATGGAGAGTAGAAGAGCACAGCCAGAAGTCAGGAGAAGAAAGAAACTGGTTTGATGCACGAGCCAAGGTGTTTTGTTTGAGGATGGCTTCAGAGGATCTGTGCCAGTTGTATGCATTCTCTGGTGACTGGCCTGTCTTGTGTCCTTGGAGTGCTGGTAAATGTGGCGTGATTGTTTCCTTGTGCCCAGCTCAAGGTCATTGCAAATGGGTGCAGTTGGAGGCTTGTCTGATGCTCATGATACAGTGATGTTGGAGTCTTGCTCCTTCACACACAGGCCTTGTAAAGAAACATGAGATAGGCGAGCACCGTTGGTGTTCAACTCGTTCTTCTTGTATGCTACTGCTGTTGGTTTTATGGACTTACAATCCCCTTATGTGTAATCCCCTTATTATTAGTATTTTTTCTTTTTTAATTTTCACGTCTCTGTTGGCATGCATCTAGGAGGTCCTCAGCTCCTGGTTTGGAACATCTTACTGAGGCTAGTTGTTCAGTATCTGAGGTTTTCTCTGACAGAATAAAACCAATACCGATTTTGCTTCAATCTGTCATGACATGAGGTCAACAAATGCTTATTTATTTTGTTGTGCATCATTTACACCTGAGATTGCTGAAGGAGTGGAAGACATGACGGATGGTGATGGTGATCCTGCAGGCACTATTCTTTGTCATTCAGTGTGCCCTTGAAACCTTTCAAATGAAAATGTCTTTGGTTGTTTTTTTTTTTTTTGTTTTTGTTTTTTTTTGTTTTTTTTTGGTTGTTTTTTTTTTTTTTGGGTGGGAACCTTGTGAAATCTTCATGGTATGTGTGGTTCCAGAAAGATGCCTGAAACTGTAGAGCTGCTGGTGTTGTGATGTTGACACATTGCTCAGAAATGCATTCGACAGAGGCACATGTAACAGTTGTGCTCTCGTCTTTGCCTGATTATGGCCTATAGTTCCTAAGCAGAGAAATGGTTTGACATACGGTGTCCTGATTTCACGTGCTTTCAACATTGGTAATCACAACCACCTCTTGAAAAGCCCCAGAACTTTTCATTGAAAGATGTAATACAAACATGCATAGAGTTGATGTTATCCATAAGAGTGCTTTGCTTGTCAACATCTGGGGTGTCCTTTCACAAAATGAAATGAGCACCCTTTGCCTTTTGGGCTGTCACACCATCACCTTTAGGAATACAGTTCCTTATCCCCCTGTAATGTTTGCATATGAGATTGCTGATGGACAGAAAAGTGGAAGGGTCAGCTGCAAAGGGTGTGCTGGAGACAGTGTCTATGTGATTCTGTTTGTATGTTTCTTTGTGGTGCTTTCATTGATGGGAAGGTTCTGCAAAAGCTGGAGTCAGCCTTGGGTTGTGGTGAGCAAGTGTGGAATCTGGTGGAGGTGAACATGTCAGTGGTGCTGAGTAGGACCGGGCCATTTTGAATGTTCCCGGGGTGATGTGGAGCAGGGCGATCTTGCCTTGTGTTTGCTTGCAACTTGTTGGAAGGTGGTGTTTTCCTGGGATGACCTCCCTTTTTACAATGGAAGTGAATGACGAGGACCATAAGGTACCTTGTGCTGAAGGTGACACGTGGACATCCCTTGCTGAGAGCAGGATGAACACTGCAATTAGATGAGGCTGATCAGGGCCTCATCCTGTGAAGGTCTCTCTGTCTCCAAGGAAAGTTATTTGTGTCAATCCCTGGCCCAGTGTTCCATGGCCTACCCAGGTGCTGTGTAGAGTTTAGTTTTTGTTTGCCCACTTGGTTTTCCTTCATCTCACTGTTCTGTACCACAGGCCTGGTTTTACAGCAGTCTGTCAGATGGCCTTTGACTCCTGTGTTCCTGAGCAGGAGGAGTGGCTGCTCCAGCAGAAGCTGTTGTAAATGCAGTCTATCAGGTCAGCTTTCTCCATTTCCATCAGAGATTCCTGAGCCAGTGCAAAACATAAAGAGTGCCATTTGTGCAGGGGGGAAGATCCTGGCAGTGGTGGGAGAAGGTGAGGCTCTGCAGAGCCTTGGTATGTTGTTCATATGCAAAATATGTTTTTGAGAGACAGATGGATGTATTTTTTGCTGTTAAAAAAAAAATAATAAAATGAGTGAAAGACTTACCTGAGCTGTATGGAGGTCTTGGTGCCTGTTTGCAGTGGGCATCCAGGTATTCTGGTGTGCAGTGGCTCATCAGAGAAATTCCTTGGGGGGACATGGCCATCTTGAGTGCTAAGGGATGCTGTACATAGCAGAATGGAAGGCAGTGAGGAAGAGGAAGAAGAGGTCTTGCGTTAGAGCAAGTCTTATCTTGATTGGAAGTGTGGTGTAGGCATTTGGAAAGCACTTCGAGAATGGAAGAAAAAAAAAAGGAAAAGTAAAGAGGAGAGGAGAGGAAAAGAAGCAGATGGATTGAAGGAGTGAAGGAAAGAAAGGAAGAATGAAGATACTGTAGGATGACTGAAAGAAGTAAGAGAAAAGGAAAGAAGGAACTGAAAGGATGAATCAAGTAAAAAGGAAGGACGTCACTGATAGAACAAAGGAACTGGAAGAGAGGTAGAGAACGAGTGAAGAAAGAACATGAGAGAAAGCATGACAGAAGGAAGGTAGACATTGAGAAGAATGTAGGCAAGCAAGAAGCAACCAAGACTGAGAAGGGAAGAGAAACAAAAGAGGAAAGAGATAGAAGGAAGGAAAGGAAGCAAGAAAGAAATGAAAGAAATGAAAGGATTTCATTTAGGAATCAAATTTAGGAAAATACGGAAAGGAGGTGTGGTAAAACCACAGACCCAATACAGGAGGGAAGCAAGGAAGCAAAGATGGAAAGAGGAAAGAAGTGAAAGATGGATAATGATGAAAGAAGAAAAGAAGATGTTCAGAAGAAATTAGGCAAGCAGGAAAGCAAACAAGAGAGAGAATGGAGGAGAAGCAAAGGAGGAGAGAGACTGGAAAGCAAGGAAGGAAGCAAGCAAGCAAGAAAAGAATCAAGGGGGAGCATCCATTGGCGTGATGAATGCAGGGCTGGCAGCCGGTTGATGTGCAGGGAGCCAGCGTGTGGAGAGCACACGCCACTCCAGACTGAAAGAAACACTGAAAGGAAATAAATGAAAAAAAACGAAGTAACACAGGAATAAAAAAGGAAGAAGAATTCGAATGAAAAAATAAAATAAAGGAATCATAAAGGAACAGAGAGAAAGAATGAAGATATATGAAAAAGGAAATAAGGTTCAGAAAGAAGGAAAGAAGTGAAAGAAGGAACAAAGTGTGAGAAGGAAAGAAGTGAAAAAAGGAAAATGGAGAAAGAAGTGAAAAGGTATGCATGCAGAAGAAAGCATGCAAGCAAGAAGCAAGCAGAAAAGCAAGCAAGAGGAGAAACAATGGAGGAGAAGCAAAGGAGGAGAGAGACAGAAAAGGAAGCAAGCAAGGGCTGGAAGCCAGTCAGTGTGCGGGGAGCTGTCTCGGGCTGTGCTGGGGTGGGTGTCGGCGCCGTGTCCGTGGTGTGTCCCGCGAGTGGCGGGGCTGTCCTGTCCCGCGCGGCGGTGTCGGTGTCGCTGTCGTGCTGTCGGCGGCGGGCGCGAGTGAGGCGTCGGAGCACACGGTGTCGCTGCAGGCTCAGGAACGGCGCGGGAGCGGCGGGAGGGCGGCTCCGCCCCGGGGCGGCGGGAAGGGCGGCTGTGCGCGCGGGGGGAGCGGCGCGGGGCGGGCAGGAGAGCGGCGGCGGCGGCGTTGGGAGCCGTGCGGGGCGCGGGCGGCGGCGGCGGCCATGGTGGTGTGCGTGCGGGCCGTGGTGCGGGTGCTGGTGCTGCAGGCGGCCTGGGCGCTGGGCGGCGGGCAGGTGCGCTACTCGGTGCCGGAGGAAGCCAAGGGCGGCACGGTGGTGGGGCGGCTGGCGCAGGACCTGGGCCTGGAGGCGGGCGAGGCGGAGGCGCGGCGGCTGCGGCTGGTGGCGCAGGGCCGGCGGGCGAGCGTGGAGGTGAGCGGGGCGAGCGGGGCGCTGGTGGTGAGCTCGCGGCTGGACCGGGAGGAGCTGTGCGGGAAGAGCGCGCCCTGCGCCCTGCGCCTGGAGGTGCTGCTGGAGCGGCCGCTGCGCGTCTTCCACGTGGAGGTGGAGGTCACCGACATCAACGACAATGCGCCGCTCTTCCCCGCCGCCACCAAAAACCTCAGCATCGCGGAATTTACGACGTTGCCGGGATCCCGTTTCCCGCTGGAGGGCGCGTCGGATGCGGATATCGGAGCCAACGCGCAGCTCTCCTATACCCTCAGCCCCAGCGAGCACTTCGCTCTGGAGATAGGAAAAGAGAATGAACGGAATATCATACCTTATCTTGTATTAAAGAAATCTCTGGACCGCGAGTCGTTGGCCGAGCACCGTCTGGTGCTGACGGCGATTGACGGGGGCAGGCCGGCACTGACGGGCACGGTGGAGCTGTTGGTGTCGGTGCTGGATGCAAACGACAACCCACCCCAGTTCAACCAGTCGGTCTATAAAGTGCAGGTGCGGGAGAACGCAGCGGAGGGTATGCTGGTGGCCCGAGTCGGCGCCACGGACCCGGACGAAGGAATTAACAGTGAAGTGATCTACAGCGCAAGCAACTTTATTCCCCCGAGTGGAAGAGATCTGATTTCGGTTAATCCGCAGACGGGCGAGATCCGCCTCGTCGGTGCCCTGGACTTTGAGGAAGTCAGTGTATTTGACTTTAGCATTGAGGCGAAAGACAAGGGGACGCCCTCGTTATCAGGGCACTGCAGAGTTGAGCTAGAGGTGCTGGACGTGAACGACAACGCGCCCGAGGTGTGGGTGACGTCGCTGTCGGTGCCGGTGCCCGAGGACGCGTCGGTGGGGACGGTGGTGGCGCTGCTGAGCGTGTCGGACCGGGACTCGGGGGCGAACGGGCGGGTGCGCTGCGCGGTGTGGCCGCCGGCGCCGTTCGGGCTGGTGGCGACGTTCGCGGGCTCGTACTCGCTGGTGCTGCGGGAGGCGCTGGACCGGGAGCGGGTGTCGGAGTACGAGGTGGAGGTGCGGGCGGAGGACGGCGGGGCGCCGCCGCTGCGCGCCAGCCGCGGGCTGCGGGTGCCGGTGTCGGACGTGAACGACAACGCGCCGGCGTTCGCGCAGGCCGTGTACACGGTGCTGGCGCGGGAGAACAACGCGGCGGGCGCGGAGCTGGCGCGGCTGTGGGCGCGGGACCCGGACGAGGCGGGCAACGGGCGCGTGAGCTACTCGGTGGCGGAGGGCGGCGCGGGCGCGGGCGCGGGGTCGGGCGCGGGGTCGGGGTCGGGGTGGCGTCCGGCGTCGAGCTACGTGTCGGTGGACGCGGAGAGCGGGCGTCTGTGGGCGCTGCGGCCCCTGGACTACGAGGAGCTGCAGGTGCTGCAGTTCGAGGTGCGTGCGGTGGACGCGGGCGAGCCGCCGCTGTGCGGCAACGCCACGGTGCAGCTGTTCGTGGTGGACGAGAACGACAACGCGCCGGCGCTGCTGCCGCCTGCCGGCGGCGGGCCGGGGCCCTGGGCTGCGGGCGAGGCGTCGGCGTCGGCGTCGGCGCCGGGGTCGCTGTGGGCGTGGGCGGCGTGGGGGGCGCCGGCGGGGCAGGTGGTGGCGAAGATCCGCGCGGTGGACGCGGACTCGGGCTACAACGCGTGGCTGCGCTACGAGCTGTGGGAGCCGCGGGGCAAGGGCCCGTTCCGCGTGGGGCTGTACAGCGGCGAGGTGAGCACGGCGCGGGCGCTGGAGGAGGCGGACGGCCCGCGGCAGAGGCTGCTGATCGTGGTGCGGGACCACGGGGAGCCGTCGCGCTCGGCCACGGCCACGCTGAGCGTGTCGCTGGTGGAGGGCGCCGAGGCGGCGCTGTCGGCGGCGGCGGCGGGGGCGTCGTCGTCGGGGGCGGGTGTGCGGCCGGCGGCGGGCGCGGAGGGCGGCGCGGCGGCGGCGGCGGCGGCGGCGACGAACGTGTGGCTGGTGGTGGCCATCTGCGCGGTGTCGAGCCTGTTCCTGCTGGCGGTGGTGCTGTACGGGGCGTCGCGCTGGGCGCCGCGGGCGGCCGTGCTGGCGGGGCCCGGGCCGGCCACGCTGGTGTGCGCCAGCGAGGTGGGCAGCTGGTCGTACTCGCAGCGCCAGAGCCGGAGCCTGTGCGTGGCGGACGGCGCGGGCAAGAGCGACCTGATGGTTTTCAGCCCCAACTGCCCGCCGCCGCCCGGCCCCGCGGCAGAAAACGCTTCTGCCGAGAAGGGACCTTCGCTCTCCCCGTACTCTTCGGGCACGGTAGGTTGCCCCCTGTTTTTTTATTTTTTTTCTTTACCAGTTCTTGTGTTTTGTTTTCCGATGGCATTTCACGGTACGTAGGTCATTGAAACGATGTGGATGTGGAAGTAATTTTACAAGGATTTTCGTCACAACATGGTCTCTGCCAATCCTGTTGGTTACTGGTGTGTAACATTTCTGAATGTTACTATTTCTGAGTAAGGACTGCACTCCAGGAAGACATGGTCTGGTTGTGACTATGCAGCAGGCACTATTGAAAGCCCTTTAAGGAGCTGACTGCTGGGCCTACTGTTGTTACGTTGTTTTCTTCAGGGCCATTTAGGAAACACCTTGTGTAGCTGGAAAAGCAGGACAGTCTTGGCCTCATGTTTTCGGATTAGTGATGCTGTGAAGTCCTCTATCCATGCAGGATGCTGCAAAGCTCTTGTACTGTCTGACACCGATGCCATGAATTTTGTGTCTCACTCCTTCACCAACAGGGTTGTCATCTCTCAGAATGAAGTCAATACGCATTGACGTTAGCTGTCATTACATCTCTTTTTGAAAGAGGCACACTGGCCTGTTTTGATGATCTTTAGTGAATCTGCAAGTGAATCTGCAAGATAGTCCCTGTGCATTTGGGACCATTGGCAGGTTTTTGCAGGTTTCAGATCTGTCATTGCTGGGAAGGGTCTGTGAAAGTTGGAGTGAGCATTGTGTTGGGAAGAGAACGTGTGTCACCTGGCGGAGGTGAATGTGGCAATGGCACTGAATGGGACCTGGCCTTATTCTGAAGCTCTTTAATCTTGCCCTCTTCCTCACCCTCATCTTCTTCTTCTTCATTGCCTGTGTCCTTGCTCTTTCATCTTGCCCTCTTCTCCTCCCTTTCCTTCTCCACCCCATCTCCTGGCCGCCCCCTTGTAATTGGTTGTGAAAGCCGGGCGCAGTCCCCGGGTCCATGGTGTCTTAGTGTTTGTCAGATGCTCGAGCTGCTAGTGCGAACAGCAGTAGGACATGAGTCTGGGGCCCAGCGCAGGTCCTGCCAACGGCTGTTGTGCTTGGAGCCCTGCTCCTGCTGTTGGGACAGGGCTCTTCTTGAAACCTCTGGTGTTGTTGGAACACCTGAACACTTGCTGGTGAATTTTTTTTGTTGTTGTGTTTTTTGGTCAAGATGTTGTCGAGGGGTCAGATTTGATGTCTTCACTTCATGCGTGATGCTGGAAAGTCATTGTACTGTCAGATGCTGATGATACCATGATATTGGTGCCTAGCACCTTCACACACACTTTTAGAAATGGGATGTGGGGCAGGTGAACACTGTTGGTGCCTGTTTAACTTATTCTACTTGTGGCCATGTATGCCTGGTGCTATTTTGGGGTATTGACTGTAATCAGGTGGTGAAGTTAATTTTCCTCTTGTGTAGATTTAACACCTGGACACTTTTCTCCTGGTGTTTTTGTGAAAGATGCTGTCTGTGGCAGGGTTCAGCTCTGAAGTCTGCTCTCCATTTGTGATGTTGCTTAGTTGTAGTGGCTGATGCTGTTGACACCATGCTGTTGGTGTCTTACTATTTCTCACAAAGGGTTGTTAATAGAACAAGTGTAAAAGATGAAGTGTATTCTATGCCCCTTGAAAATGTACAATGTTTTTTCAGCAGTAGATTGTTTTGGAAAGCCATGATGCAGTATGAAGCATGTTATACTTCCCCTTTTATGAGTATGCCTTTTGGGTGCTTTGGAATACGGAGGTAGAAAAGTACACCAGGAGATCAGGGCAAGAAACAGAGAGCTGTTTTTCTGCATCATCCAAGGCATTTTGTTCAAGGACAATTTCAGAAGATCTGACTCCAGGCTGCCCCCTCAGAAGCGGTTGTGGCAGCCAGGTGCAGCCCCTGGACCCACGGCTGCTCAGTGCTCATCAGGTGCTTGAGCTGCGAGTGCCGACAGCGCAGTGGCCAGCATCTGTGCCCCAGCGTGGGTCCTGGCAAGCGCTGGTGTGCTTGGATTCCTGCTCCTGCTGCCAGGACAGGGCCTTTCTGTGGACCTCTCATGCTGTACAGGGTCTGCTGTGAAATCTTCTCTCCATGCGTGATGGTGGAAAATCATTCTCATGTCTGATACCTATGGTACTTCAGTATTGGTGTCTTATTCCTCTTACAAACTGTTACAAATGTGACAGGGGGCCGGTGAGCACCATTTGTGTCTGTTCAACTTGTTCTAGTTGTGTCCATGTATGCCTGGTCCTATTATTGTGCTACTGTCTGTAATCAGCTGATGGCGGCATTTGCATCTCTCTATTTGTGTCTCCAAGATCTCCTCATCCCTTGCTTTGGGACATCATATTGAAACCAGTTGTTCAGTTTTTCTCAGAGAGAATGAAATCAATGCCAATTTTCATTAGAGCTGTCATGTCATGATCTCTGCAAGTCCCGTTGCTTACTGGTTTGAAGCAGCTCTGCTTGATTCTGTTGAAGGACTGCAGGCCAGGAAGAGACGGTCTGGTGGTGACTCTCAAGCAGGCACTACTGAAAGCCCTTTAATTAGCTGAATGACAAGCCTGCTATTATCATTGTGCAGTGTTTTGTTTTTGTTCTTGTTGAGAACTTGGTTTTTGTGTGTTTTGATTGTCCTGTCAAGAAGAAATGATGAAGGTGACATTTGGGTCTTTGGGCTTTTCTGACTGTGGATTTGTATTCCTTGTTAGGGAAGTGGCATTTCACACAGAGCTCTGCTTAGAAGTTATTACAAAGAGTCTGCCAGACATTGTGGATTTGGTACCATTGTAATATATATATTTTTTGTAGCTGTGATTGATGGGAAGGGTCTGTGAAAGCTGGAGTGATCCATGGGGTGGGAAGGGAAATGATGCAATCAGGTGGAGATGAATGTGGCAATGGCAGTGAATAGGACCTGGCCATTCCCTGATGTGAGGGATGAAGTTGAAAAGGATCTGCATTGCTTGCCATAACAGTAGAAGAAGAGATTCCTGTTCATGTTAAGAACACATGTCCCAGAATGGTGGATCATGGGTGTCTAAAGCAAAGCCTGAGGGAGAATGGTCCCAGAGTGTTGCTGTGGAAGACCCTTTCCCAGACTCCAAGACACAAGATTTGAAGGTCTTCCTTAACCAGAGACAATACGTGATGTTGAAATGGTCTGGATGTCATTTGAGGCATATGCCTTCCATCAGTTGTGAATCCCTCTTTCTCCTCTGGGACATGTTGAACGAGAAGGAAAAAGTTCAGACATTGCAGAGAAGTGTGCCAGGAAGTAGAGTGGTTGATTTCCCTTGAGGAGAATCCCTTGAGGTGTGTTGTCCTTGTGTGGAGGGCTGGAATTGTGTTAGGTGAAATTGTAGAGGGCCTTTTCTTGTGCAGGTCAGAGTATGTCAGAGGAAGGCATTTTGACTCCCTCGCTATCCTGCTGTTGCATGGATTCTGTGTAGAGTTGTAGTTGCTTGTGATCACCATTTCGCTGCTCTCTGCATGCCATTCTGTGTCCCCCCATCTTTTTCTATGCTCTTTGAAGATACATCGACTTTTTCACTCTCTTTACCACCAGAAAGTAGTTGTAAAGGGGAAGAGTGCATCTGAAACCATGTTATACTTTTCCCTCTATGAGTAGCCATTAGCGTGCTTTGCAATAGAGGGTAGAAGAGCACAGCCAGAAGTCAGGAGAAGAAAGAAACTGGTTTGATGCACGAGCCAAGGTGTTTGTTTGAGGATGGCTTCAGAGGATCTGTGCCAGTTGTAATGCATTCTCTGGTGACTGGCCGTCTTGTGTCTTGGAGTGCTGGTAAATGTGGCGTGATTGTTTCCTTGTGCTCAGCTCATGGTCCATTGCAAATGGTGCAGTTGGAGGCTTGTCCGATGCTCATGATACAGTGCTGTTGTGAGTCGTTGCTCCTTCACACAAAGGACCTTGTAAGAACGTGACATAGAGATAGGCAAAGTGCACCTGATTTGGGGGTGTGTTGTTTCGAAGCTCGTTCTTCTTATATGCTACCGCTGTTGGTTTTATGGACTTACAATCCCCTTATGTGTAATCCCCTTATTAGTGTATTTTTTCTTTTTAATTTTCACGTCTCTGTTGGCATGCATCTAGGAGGTCCTCAGCTCCTGGTTTGGAACACTTGCTGAGGCTAGTTGTTCAGTATCTGAGGTTTTCTCTGACAGAATAAAACCAATACCGATTTTGCTTTGATCTGTCATGACATGAGGTCAACAAATGCTGATTTATTTGTTATGCATCATTTATACCTGAGATTGCTGAAGGAGTGCAAGACATGAAGTGGTGGTGATGGTGATCCTGCAGCACTATTTTTGTCATTCAGTGTGCCCTTGAAAACCTTTCAAATGAAAATGTCTTTGTTGTTGTTGGTTTTTTTTTTTGGTTGTTTTTTTTTTTTTGGGTGGGAACCTTGTGAAATCTTCATGGTATGTGTGGTTCCAGAAAGATGCCTGAAACTGTAGAGCTGCTGGTGTTGTGATGTTGACACATTGCTCAGAAATGCATTCGACAGAGGCACATGTAACAGTTGTGCTCTCGTCTTTGCCTGATTATGGCCTATAGTTCCTAAGCAGAGAAATGGTTTGACATACGGTGTCCTGATTTCACGTGCTTTCAACATTGGTAATCACAACCACCTCTTGAAAAGCCCCAGAACTTTTCATTGAAAGATGTAATACAAACATGCATAGAGTTGATGTTATCCATAAGAGTGCTTTGCTTGTCACATCTGGGGTCCTTTCACAAAATGAAATGAGCACCCTTTGCCTTTTGGGCTGTCACACCATCACCTTTAGGAATACAGTTCCTTATCCCCCTGTAATGTTTGCATCTGAGATTGCTGAAGCACAGAAAAGTGGAAGGGTCAGCTGCAGGGTGTGCTGGAGACAGTGTCTATGTGATTCTGTTTGTATGTTTCTTTGTGGTGCTTTCATTGATGGGAAGGTTCTGCAAAAGCTGGAGTCAGCCTTGGGTTGTGGTGAGCAAGTGTGGAATCTGGTGGAGGTGAACATGTCAGTGGTGCTGAGTAGGACCGGGCCATTTTGAATGTTCCCGGGGTGATGTGGAGCAGGGCGATCTTGCCTTGTGTTTGCTTGCAACTTGTTGGAAGGTGGTGTTTTCCTGGGATGACCTCCCTTTTTACAGTGGAAGTGAATGACGAGGACCTTAAGGTACCTGTGCTGAAGGTGACACGTGGACATCCGTGGTTCCCTTGCTGAGAGCAGGATGAACACTGCAATTAGATGAGGCTGATCAGGGCCTCATCCTGTGAAGGTCTCTCTGTCTCCAAGGAAAGTTATTTGTGTCAATCCCTGGCCCAGTGTTCCATGGCCTACCCAGGTGCTGTGTAGAGTTTAGTTTTTGTTTGCCCACTTGGTTTTCCTTCATCTCACTGTTCTGTACCACAGGCCTGGTTTTACAGCAGTCTGTCAGATGGCCTTTGACTCCTGTGTTCCTGAGCAGAGGAGTGGCTGCTCCAGCAGAAGCTGTTGTAAATGCAGTCTATCAGGTCAGCTTTCTCCATTTCCATCAGAGATTCCTGAGCCAGTGCAAAACATAAAGATGCCATT